ACTTCTCGGTAGTACCAACAAATGATCGAATCGCAGTGTTCCCTTAGCATTGAAACTCCAATTGCATAAGGACCACTATATGAATTATAAAAAATTAGCCCCTACTTAGCAGCTGCTATCGTAAACAATACATTAACAGGAATGCTTCTGGATTTTTCTAAAAGATGAAGGCGTTATCCGTGAAATGACTGTCAATAGTTACAAAAACAGCAGCTGTTACGGGGGCAAAATCCTCGGCAGATGGGCACTACTTATGACAAATCTACAGTAATTACTTTACAAGATTCCTTACACCGCGCTCCGGATAGAATATGGAACAACTTTGTGTTTTCCGAAGGCCTCTCTCTGTTTCCACCAAGAGCTTGTGGCAAAACTGGAGCCGGTACTTCCACAGGAATCGGTACTGGAGCAGGTTTCTGAAATGATTTATTGAAATTCCAATAAAGGAACAGGCGAACTTGATCGAAACAACTGAAAAAAAACACATCTCAGTATATATAGTGTATGCCGCAAGAGAGTTTATAAGGGTGTGGAAGCAGATGTAAGAGGAAGGAGGGTTGACAAAAAAATATTGCTCATGACGCGGATTATCTAAATTTGTCGCAAATGTAAATAATAAGAAGAATAAGAACGATATAGAGAAGATTTAAAGGGATATGTTCCTCACAAGCTGTTCTACAGCGGGAGCAAATCCTCCACCACTGCCTCCCTGCCAGAAAAAAAGTGGAGTCAGCCGTACTCGCCCAGTAAGACCCGCAGTATTTGTGCCATCTTGAGGCAGCTGCCCAATTTCTAGGCTGGGTCACTCGCCTGTGAGTTCCTGAAGACAGCCAATCCGGCAATGTGAGGCACCAACCGTCCAGATATTTGGAAAATGTTCACCGTCCACGAATTCTTTCCAAAACTGTGTTCATACTTTGCGTCAGCGCCTACTAGCGTTCACCAGCGTCTCGAAAGACTAGGGAAGTATAAGTATCGATTTAGCGAACGCCAGCGTACAGGAGCGTTTGCACGGGTAGTTCTGCTCAATTTTAAAAGTGCCCGCGAGAACGCTGGTGGACGCTGCCGGACGCTTGATTGATACCTGTAGTTTCCTAGCACCTCAAGACGCAGGTGGACGTCAGCGTTCGCTAGATCGATGTCCCAACATTCCTTCGATGTCCGAACATTCCTAATCGCAGGCCGATGCTGACGCAAATTATGAACGCTGCCTTATGACTAAACCGTCGTCGTTGTTGATCGTCATGAGCCCGGGATCCCCACACGTCGGTCCGATGTATTTTGAACACATGATGAGATTTACTAGTGTACGGGTCACTTCCCCGTCACTCCATGCGAAATCAGCTCTAGGTATACGCTACAAGAGATTCTTTTGCAAGCTCAAGGCTTTTCAGCTAAGCTTGGGCTAATGCCATTTGATCGCTCGATGGTTACGAGTGATGGTTCGGCTTCAGCAAGCCGTAGTAGTTGTGGGCAAAGGCGAGAAAAGGCTAAGGATGTGCAGCTGAGGGACGACTTGACAATAAACTGAATGCTCACTTTCGAGGACGGTCCTCGCAATGTGGGAAATGAATGGGCTCGCAGCTGTGGTAGCGTGGCCCCCGAGACGCAGTGCGGGCGTAGTCAAGAGACGGTTTCAGGTGACTTTATCGTCCAGCCCCGTTTCCAAGCACTGTTGAGCGGAGAAAGTGATCTGCTATTGCAATTGCGGACCCGTTCACCTCACAGATAGCAAGAACGAAGATGCTTGCTTATAGGAGAGCTGTGAGGGCACCGCGTTTTCAGGCAGCAAGGAATGCACTCAATGTTGATGGTAAACTTCACCCAATGTTGATGATGTTGTACTGAATGAAAGGATATTCTAGAGGACTTCAGCTAGGTTCTTCACAACGGTTCGGGTTCGGCATGATCTAACGCCTCAGCTTTTTCATACAGAAAGAATTATTCGAAAATGCCATTCTAAAGAATAAAGATGTGAGAAATGAAAATTTGGTCACATTGATAACCGGTATGTTAGAAGGCTTGTCCCATCGCCTGATCCTATCATCGCGGTCTCTTCTATCATCACGATCTCTTCTATCGTCGCGATCCCTTCTGTCGTCACGATCTTTTCGTTCACTGAAATTCCTTTAAACAATTTAAGAGTAAAATAAATGTAGTACAGAAAAAAATCAGGCGCAAAAGCAATTGAGGAGTCCAAGCACTTAGCAATTTCTTTGACATATTCGGGACTGCTAACACCCATCAGGGTGCCATGGCTTCCATGGGCTAAATTCACCCAAGGCTTTCATTTTTATTAGGTTGTCCGGAAAGTTCTCAGCGTTTTGGGTGTTTCACTTTAAACGATCGTAACTTTTTTAATACTCATCGGATTTAAATAGGCACCATTCGAATCAGCACACTTTTGCCAATGTGACAGCAGTCGAGAAATCCCATCAAAGTAAAAAACTGGGTGGTCGAAAATTCACGAAATCCACTAAGGCTTTTTGCCTGGTCCTGATTGATGAAGTATTTTCCAGCAAGGGAGTTCTGAAAATGTTAGAAAAGGTGATAGTCGGTTGGCGAAAGGTCTGAAGAATATGGCGGTTGAGGTAGAACTTCAACCCCCAATTCGTTCAATTTATGGATAGTGATTTGTGAAACGTGTGGGCGGGCGTTGTCATGCAAAGAATCGGACCCTTTCTGTTGACAAGTGCTGGCTGCAGCTGACGCAATTTTCGGTACATTTCGTCGATTTCTTCACAGTAGGACTCTGCTGTGATGGTTTGGCCTGGTGATAAAAAGTTATAGTGGATCACACCAGCCGATGACCACCAAGCCGTGACCAGAATCTTTTTTCGTGAGGGTTCGGCTTTGGAAATTGCCTCGGTGGTCCGCCGGCATCCAACTCCGAAACGTCTCCTGTTATCATACATGATCCACTTTTCATCACAGGTGACAAATTCGGTCCAAAACGGTCGTTTCTGCTGCGCAAAAGCAATGCAGAAGGAACCTCGAGACGTGCCGATTCCTGCCGGTCACTCCGATTGTGGGGCACCCAATTGTCGAGTTTTTTCACCTTCCCAATGCGTTCCAGACCATCTGCAACAAAGGCCTAGCTCTTCTGCTATCTCTCGAACTGTTTGGGATGGGTCAGCCTCCAAAATCCCCCTAAAATCCTCGTCATATTGCTTTAGGTCGACCGCTATGAGGTTCATCTTCAAGGCTGAAATCTCCAGAACGAAATTTGTTGAGCCATTGCCGCACAGTGCTTTCTCTAGCACTATTGGGCCCCCACACCTGGTTAATTTGTTGAGCTGTTTCGATTGCGGATTGCCCCAATTTATAGTCGAAGAAAAAAATCGTCCGAAGTGCTCTTTTCACATGCTTGAAAAAATCTTGAAAAAAGGGGGTTTATCAAGCAATGGTGAAACGGCAATTATACCATCAGATAGCGCAAGAAATTCTCTACAGGATGTGCTACTGAGAAGCAAGGCAGAATGAGTTTTTAATCAGCAGTGAATGTACAAAAAATAGGTGCACAAAACGCTGAGAACTTTCCGGACAACCTAATATTTTCCGTCACAAGAACAAGACGGAGGTGATGTAGTGGCAAGTGGCACGCTCACCACACGCACGGTGCGAGGGCTGAACCGCAGATCAACTCCTGCTCAGGCTAACTAACCTGGGAGGCGGACTTTAGGATTATGCGGCATCGCATGCGGTAAACTGCATATACCGTGCGCTTGCGGCAGAGCGCACGTTCGTGACGCCTCCCCCCCCCATTGCTTTAGAAAAGTAGATAGTGCTCCGTTTCAGCCATGCTCGTTCACCCTAACAGGACCTGCACTGTCGTGACCGTAAGACTTCGTTTCATTTGTATTATTAGAGAGTTCTTGTAGTAAGTCTACACAGATATTAGATATTATTATAAATATTATTAGATATTATTATAAATATCCTCACTAGATATTTACGCTTATTAGCTGATGTCTAATCATTCAACAGTTGCAGTGCTTCCTAGTCAGCCCACATTTGGAGACTTTAGCTACTGTTGTATGGCTGAAGTATGAAGGAATGCCCTGTTGAAAAGATCACAGCGAAACGTCACTATCCCGATGAGAGAACCATCTGCGCGCGCTCGATTGCGAGCACATGGTATCGCATTCGTTGCGCGCGACTCCGCTTGGTCCTATCGTCACACTCTCGATAAACCTTCTGCCAAGGGTAACGGTAAATTGGTACCAGATTCGTCTGGGAGGAAATGAGGACACCTAGTTGTACATGGGCTAGCCGCGCAAGTCATTGTATAAGCCACATTGCACTCAGTAAACCACGACGATTTCGAATGAGTGTAATATGTGTGCAGCATACAAACAAGGAGACTGATCAACGTCGAAGGTCTTCTGCCCGTTCTTATCATAAGGATGCCGATTAATATGCTAACGACTTGACCCTAACAGGAATCGAGCCTGACCCCTACGCTTACAGGGCTAGTCTGCTGACTATTACACCCCACACCCCCAGAGCCGCCGCATGAAGTCCAGGTCCGAGCCCTAACGAGGTTAAGCCTTTTGGCTATAACTCAGCATGCTTGTGACGACTTTCGAATCGCGAACTGCGATGAAAAACAGCATCATTCATATAAAGGGCTAGTGAGTGTTGAGCGCGTTGCGTACCCAATCACTTCCGTTCTTTTATCCAAGCACCAGCGCTGAACGCGAGGCAACTCGCTCTTGGAGAACCCACCATATATCTCCACGAGTAGGGCACGAAAAATCTTGTTATTATAATGAAGCGTTTTTCGTTATGGTAAATCCATGTGTCTGAATCCATACACACTGGATTGGTCGTGCCAAGCCAGTTGTGAAAGATATGCAGCACTTGCGGGATAACCACGCCGCCTCCTCATTCTCTATCTCTCCCTCCTTTTCATTTTCGATATCCTCACTTTCCCTGCTTATAAACGACAATACTCCAATGTCAGCCTCACATATTCCTACATTCTGATGCTACGCCTTGATGAGCTAGCCCACCCTAAAATTGCTAACACGGCTATTTAAAGGCTTTCAGCACTTAAGCAATTCGAAGACGATCTTCCTTGTCCAAGCAGTTTGGCCCTTAGCCAATAAAGCAATTCGAAGACGATCTTCCTTGTCCAAGCAGTCTTGGCCCTTAGCCAATACCATTCTCCCACTTTCGCGTCTTCTCAGTAAGTAACGAGAGCCTTTGGCCTGCAGTGGCACTTCTGTCGCCTCACTAGTTGCCCCGCCCACCGAAATTCAAGGGCCAATTTCTGACGAGTTCAGTTTTGACAGTGCATTCTTCGTTTTTTTCAGATTAGATGGTATGAGCATTTAATAACGAAAAACGAATAAAGAGCTAGAGGCGGCAGGATAGGATGGATAATGCTTTGCTGCCATAAAACGATCAGTTCTATGAAACTCGTACGGAGAGCTTGCCAGGTCCTTGTACTGTAATGGAATCCGGGTCCAAACTCGTCCGCCCAAGCCTTCTACCCTCCGGGGACGGTAACTTGGCACCATATTTCTGGAAAGATAAGAACGCTGGCTTGTACATTGGCTGGTCCCCGCAAGTCATTGTATAGGCCACATCGCAATAAACCACTACGAATTCTGAATGGAAGTAGAATGCGTGCCGCATCCCACAAAATGATTGATCAACGGCAGACTCATACTGTATACTGTACTCGAGTGTTCTCTCTCCTGTTCTGTCGATTTTTTTTTCGCTTTTTCCTTCACTAGAGAGTAATGTAGCGACTATAGGTTTGTAATCGAACGCCACTATTCACAATATACAATAGCGGGGTTTGTTTTTGAGTCATCACAGCATAGCACCACGAGGAAGAACACGGATGTGAAGCTGGTATGGGACTGTAGACTAAAAGGGTTATTCAAAGGGTTAGGTGGAATCATGAGTATGACATTCATATTTGTGCCACCGTATAGACATACTTGGGGCTATTCCGCATGCCGATCAGGAACATGACTCCGTTCTTAGATTACCTCAAAAGATTAGCTATATCAGATCTTTGGAGAAAAGCGTAGGTGCCAACATGTACGCCTACAAGGGCAGAGTATAACAGCTACAGTCGAGTTTCATCGGAAATTTCGTTTGCGATTTTGCGGTGATAATGCCACAACAGCCTTTTTTAAAAAGGAATGTTGCACTATTTCGATTCAACTTTTTTGTTGAAAGTTAGCCTATAGAGTTTATTCGGTGCTCTGGTAACATTTATGACCGTTACCGACATTGGCCGCAGGCGCCACCATATTTTTCACCAAAGTAGATAGTAACTTGCACAGCAGAGATGTTTGGTGTCCTAATCACGAATATGACATCATTTTTGACACCAGAGCCATTCAGCGCTCTGCTAAGGCAGAGCCTGGTAACTGCGGTCACCAGCTTCTTCAGCAGAGCGCGGATCTTTATAGCGCCCTATATTAACGCTGGCGCTGAGAATGAAGGTCATATTCGTGACACATGATTCGGGGACCACCTATTACTCTCAAGCACACTTTTGCAGAGATCGATAACATGGATATCATATCCGCGAGCAAGGCATCCAAACAACTTCTATTGGCGAATTTTCAGCGAAAATTGTCTTCTGAATTCTGGAGCCGTGATAGCGGATAGAGCCAAAAACACGACTGTTACCTACCATACCACCTCAGAGAGCATCGAGTCAAGATGGCCTACCAGGAAAAAGATAGAAGATAAGAAAAAGATAAAAAGCATCAGTCGTTGTCTTGAGAGTTTTGAAACAAGCAAGTGTGCTATCGCATATCCACTGCAGGAAAAATCCGAATGAATTACAGTACAATCGAACGCTGTGGCGCGAAACGCGCAGACTTTTCAAGCACTAATAATCTACAAAGTTTCACCTGACTAAAACTTGTCTAACCTTTTTTGTTTGCCCTGTTGATCTTCAGTTATAACAATGTCATCATCTTCGTCATCGCCGAAAACCAAGGGGGCTGGAGGATTTAGCGTTGGAGCGGTCTGGGCTTTTTTGATTGAAAATGCCAACGTTGCATGCTGAAAAAACACGGCTTAAATAAGATGACCGATAATTTGAACAAAGCAATGACAGAACGTACAGGAGCTGAGCGAAGGTCCGTGTCCATGATAGAAGCACCTAATGCTGGAACGTTGCCAACAAAACCTAAACGGTTTTATTTCTACTTGCAGACATTTCAGTTGTTAAATTATCCAAACATACCGACAGATGCCGGAGGAACGGGTTTGGGAACATATCCTGTGGGGTCTGTGAGCTCTGGTGGCGGTTGATCAAAACGCGATCTACGTTGAATACCAGTTTCAGCTGGCTTAGGTGCAGCCATTGTTGTAGGGGGAAGTCTTCGGAGATCAGTGTCCTGACATTGAGGTTTCGGTTGATTAGCTCGTAGTAGTTCCAATAACCTGTAAACGAATAAGCATGTCAGACTTATGATCAAATTCACTCGAATAGCTCTTGAAAACTAATTTTGACGCTTTCACTAAGCATAAAGTCGAATATGCAAGAAGTGTTGCGCGAATGGGGAGCGAACTCGCATGCCACTTGCGTTTTGTCTTTGTTTATGGAAATATGGGCCAAGCTCCTAGCGCCCTCTCACAGCATTCCTGAGAGGTCGAGCTACTGCCTACACAACGGCAGCGCTAGCACTGCCCTATGATGAGCTTTAGCGTCAGTTCAGGGGCCAACAACACATTTCCACCAAATTTTGAGTGCACACGACTCCTTTGGGAGATACCAGTAGCTAGTTTGGTCCCTTTAGTACTACTATTCCACGCTAATGGTTTACCTAGGTATCCAGTGGTTATAAAAGAACTTGAAATTGATTGCTTCGGAATGGCCTCGAAAAGCGGTTTTGGTTGCAGGGGAAGGGAACGCAGATACAGTATGTGGTTGAGCAAAACCCCACTTCTTAGTCCTCAGTATCGGAAGTAAGGGCGATTGTAGAATGAAGCGAAAATTGCGGTCACGAAGTAATTGAATCACAGACACGGAGATAACTGCTTGTGTACAAAAAATTCAGGAAAAAAAAACCAGAACGAATCAAAAAAAACCAAAACATGCCTTATAACATTCTCTGGCATCTCCGAAACAGAGGTCGGTGGAGGACTAGCAGGTGCATCGCGTTCCGAAAACGCTTCGTCAGCGCCAGGTTTCTGCTCACTTGACGAAGTCGCCGAACTCGATTCTCCATCTGGGTTCGACTCACTCTGCAAAATCTAAGGAATATTCCACAATGGGTGAATCCTAAATTGATATATGAGAATCGTAGTTCGCCGCGCCAGTGGGCGTCGCGTGCGACGTCGCGCCCGCTAATGACGACGATTTTAGGTGGTATTGGTCGAGAATAGACAATGTATGACCAAAAATAGACATAAGTGTCTACCATGTCCTTGTCTACATGAAATCCGATGCTCCAATCGAAAGGTAGTGCAAACTAAGGAAACGTCACGCCCACTATCCCGCGCGACAAAGCGCCAATCTACGTTTCTCTTGCCATTTGCCCAAAGTGAAGTATGGGCTTGTGCGTGAGCATGTACAGCTGATAAAGTCGATCAGTCAGGCGGTTTCATTAGGGATGGAGTAGGCCACCCGTGGCGTTTTCATCACTGATTATTTTCGTCACAATTCGATCATCAACCCATCTTAACTAGTACAGCAAGGCAGCCGGAGGCGGGCTCATCCCACCCTCCTCACATTGTTCCTAAGTGATCCCGATGTTATTAAACATGTGATCCGAGATGACACCAACCAGTCCAGTACTTTAGATTGAGATCATACCAGAACAGCAATTGTTTTTCTTATCAAACGATGCTAACGGAATGGGTCGATTGACGCTTCACAGAGTAGCTATAAATAACCACTGTAGAATGGAGTGGTCTTTGAAAACATCAAAGACAAGCGAATATGATCCGAGAAAACAGTGGCATGATAAATGATGATAGTGGGAGGTCACAAGTGATCAAACATGTACTACAGAAGCATCCGATTGCATCTTAGTGCAAATGATAGATAGATAGATAGATAGATAGATAGATAGATAGATAGATAGATAGATAGATAGATAGATAGATAGATAGATAGATAGATAGATAGATAGATAGATAGATAGATAGATAGATAGATAGATAGATAGATAGATAGATAGATAGATAGATAGATAGATAGATAGATAGATAGATAGATAGATAGATAGATAGATAGATAGATAGGTGACAATTAGCGAACCACTATATGCAAATGTATAACTGGGCAGTTGACTCAGCAGAAAACTTGCATCTCAAATGAATATCGAAGAACATTCGGCATAAGTTTGTTTCGGTACCTTAAAAGAACGACCAAATCGCCAAGTAAAAGAGAACGGTCGCGAAAACGGCAGAAATCTTCTAAAGCGCAGTAAAATGTGCTATATGATGAGAAAAGAGGATTGCGCTGAGCGACAAGATGACAGTGTTCAGAGAGCGAAACCCTCAAGGATACGAACTCTTAGCTAAACCGGGACGCGACAATTTGACAACTCACCAAAGCACTGCACCTTTGCAAACTTTAATGATTGCTGATAAACTTGCAGAATAAAGAAGGCGCTTCTGCTTTCCATATTCGAAGACAGCATTTCAAATTTCATCTATGAGCACAGGTCTCCCTCCGAGATTCCATGAGAAGATGAAACCATTTTTTGCTTAGTTGTGGCAGAGGTAAAGCAATGAAAATTGAAGCTTCCACGCTTGTAGAAGCGAAAATGAATTATTTTAAAGGTGCAACGCTACTAAATGATACCAGGAAGGCCATACACGGCTACCACAATGTATCTTGAGTTTTCTCGAAGGCTGCAACAACAGCTTAATATTGGGTGCTGCCTATCATGAAAAAGATGCACTACCGAATGATGGCGGACTTGTAGGATTTGTGCATTTGAGAAGCATATCATCACACCATGTGACCAGCTGAGCGTTAGCTGCGTAAGAAGTATGCTAATACTTAGCCCTTTCAAAGAAAGAAGAAGATTTATTTGAATGTTTTTGTTGTAAGAATCAACAAAAACATTCAAATAAACTGCTGGTTTTTCCAACAGCCATACTCCCAGGGGGAGAATAGAAAATTTTGCCCAAGCGGTTATGGTCAACGAGAAGCGCTGGTGTAGAGAGAAAGAAGCTGTATAGCTTATACACATAGCCGTGCTGATGAAAACCAAGCAAGATCACATTTTACAAGTTGTAATATCCAACCTGCACATCGGGCGCTCCAGATATCGTTGTGGACGCTGTGGGCTCCTCTCCTGAAAGCAAATACAAATAATTAACGCTTCCTTGAAAACTAAGGACCTCAATCCAGCCAGTGAAAGACTAAAGCACACATTACAAAAAGTGCAAAGTTATAATAAAATGGCTTGGTTACAGGCGAACGCCCAATTAGGTCCTAACCTTGCCTGAGTTCAATACTTTTGCTCATCAATCAGCATATTTCTGAAAGTTTTAGAAACGCGACCTACGGCGTTAAAAATCAGTTATCATGATAAAACAAGGACTGTGAAGCAGCTTCGAATCTACTACCGCACACTTTTTGTAATTACATTGCAAGAGGACTTTAGAATGGATTATGCAGATATAGATACATATGTAGACACCGTAGATGCAAAACAACAAAGTTATGGAAATAAAGCAAATGGTACTGTATAAGAAAGACAGCCGCCACGAGATTAGAGGGATCGTGTATCTTACCAAAGGTTGTAGAAGCAGACGAAGGACATGAACTGGTCTGCGAATCCATTGTCGTTTCACACATGAATTGGGCATCATAATCTTCGTCATGATCGTCAATGAAGTCCACCGCCTAGAAGAATACTCAATGAGATTGATCAAATTAACCGCTCCGTGAATTGTTCTTCAGCAGCCGATGAGTGAATGACAGCTACTGATTTCAGCGGAATCCTACGCTTCAAAGCCGCTAGTGTTCGTTCGACAATCACACCGATGTGCTTCTCTATTCACTTCCACGCGAAGCTATGTAACGACAACATGAGGACATAAAGTTGTTAAGATCACATCGTGAATCACTCTTCAGAATCTTTCTAAAACAGGTACAAGGCAGATCATGGCGACTGCAATTATGAATAGATGCCTTTTTAACTTTTTTTCCTGAACCACAAAGGTGTGGACTGCATGGGACTGTTATACAATTTTCTCAACGTAAGTCAAAGAAAACTCATTGCAGGCAAGGAAAGTCCTGTCACTGTGGCAAACAAACTCCGCTCCTTCCGAAGTTCCTACTCTAGTGCGACCCCTCCCCTTCCTACTTACCATCTTTACAAATTAATTTTCTCAATGAGGGGAGGAGGATTCCCATCAAACAACTTGAATTCAGTCATCGAAATGGCTCTCGCTTACACCCCCCCCCTCATCCAGCGGTCATATGACCCCCACTGTTGGCAATACCCAACGCACTGTACAGAACTATTAAAACAAACCTCATCTGTTCTTTCTGGCGAAGACTTCACGTTTGGTGGAGTAGGTGTTCCCTCAGAGCCTGACTCAATTTCCATGTCACAAACTGTGAGCTCATCCTGAAACGGAAATGGGTGTATTATGGAGGACAGGCGTAATACTCAATACCTTTACCTCTGACGACTGTGTGTTTGCATTCGATGCAGACGAGGAACCGCTAGGCTCTCGTGGGCACTGCAAAAGATTCGCTTCAGAGATAAAAAGAAAACAAAAAGAGACTTAGCGGGATAAAACTTGCATTGTCCGTATTTCGGCTGAGAAGTGGTAGTGGAAGAGAGGTTATTATGCAATTTTTAGTTGATCCAAGGCGGCGCGGCACCGAAACGCTCTTAAGTAGATCTTAAAAGAGAATCAATTGTTGGAAATACTAGTCATGACAGACCTTTGCGGTCTCGGGTGCTTGTTCAACTGGAGGAGCTGGTTCCACTCCATTATCCGCCAAGTCAACATCTGCACTACCACCTAGAACAGATCGCTGAACAGCATCTACCCCCACCAACCAACAAAAGCAAATGTTACCTTTTGCGATTGTGCTGAAAACCCCTTGGAACAGATCCTTATGTTTGTTCACAACGGTGGGAGGGCTGGGATTTACGTCGAGAGGGGTTGAATTTGATTGCTGACCCTTCAAAAAAATTAGGTTTGAAAACAAAAAGGATGAGAGGTAAACGTCGAAAAATATCGATTAGGGTGAAAAACCAGCAGACCGTCCGATCAGCCGCGCCAAATGGCGGCTTCCTTGTTAGCAGATCTTTGGGTGGTGGAAGACGTCCATGCAGTCCCGCCTTGACCGCTTCATCCCGATCATTCGACAGCTTTTTGCCGCATTTATTTTCATTCTGAAATTCAAACAAGGTAGAAAGTTCAAACAAAATTATCAGGAATTTACGTCTCAACCTAATATTTGAACGAACTACAGAACCATTTTTAGTAATTAAATGAGTAAACCAGACTCACGTCTACAACACTTTCTGACCATCGTATACGCGTTTTCCTGGGAGTTGCAACTCCAGCAGCAGCCTTGAATACGAAATGACATTTTCTGTGATAGCCAAAGTTACTGAACAACGAGAATCAGTAGCGCGAACTAATGTCCCCTCACAACGAAATAACTTCAGAGTTCGTTCACACTACTCACTGTGTTTCGAGCAGTGCCGGGTGCTGGAGGAGGTACGCTTCTCCCTATTAGTGGAGGTTGCTCTACAAACACTTGCGGAGGTTTATTTCGTAGACAGCCTAAACACTTAAAATAAGATCGCTGCAAATGTAACGTAAAAAAACATACTTTTGCCGGCAAACTGTGGCAAAGGGACGGGAGGAAGTGGAGAGCGCTCCTCACCGTCCGCGTCCGAGCATGCACTTTGAGACGTTTCAACTGACTTTGAAGGATCTAAACACAGCGATGGATCCTGACCGGTACCAGCTATGATATATAGTTTGGAAGGAAAGTCTTGTCACTGTTGTGACTTTTTTCTTTTTATTTTCTAACTCAACATACAGTGGGAATTAGTCAACAATATACTCGTCATAGTTAGCCACTACAGTGCTCCACCCAATGGACAGGTAAGCATTCCCCTCCTCCCAGAACTGAGAAGGCTGCGAGTAGAGTAAGTCAGCGCCCTCTCGACTGATGTCATCAAAGTTGCTGAAAGTTTTCTTAGCTAAGAAAGCCTTAGGAGCAGGTAGCAGTCGTAGGGGACTACGTCAGGAGAATATTATGAGCGGGGACTGGTCTTCCAGCCTTGCTCCTCAATTATTTGGTAGGTCTTCATAGCAGGTATGGGGTCTCGTGTACTACGAACGAGGTGCACCGAAGCTAGTTTCGGTCATTTTTCTCCAACAGTCTCCACGAGTTAAGTAACGCAAATGGTCGTTGTGACCGTGTGTTCATACAGGGCAGCTCGTTCTGCAGCATCCCCCTCGCGTCCCAGGAGCAGCACGGACCTTCTCGGAATACATGCCCGGTTTGGACTGCTAGAATGGATCTTCTCCTTGAGAGAGGCAAACGGTACTGTGTGGGTTGAGAGGACCCATCTCTCATCCCCACTGAGCAGTCCTGGAAACTCTTTCTGACGAGGGCAGAGAAGGGGAGACTGACCAAGGGGTACCCGGGTGCACAGCGTGCCATCGGTCAAGGTATGAGTGATCCATCGAGCCAGTACTTCTTGGTAGTCAAAGGCTTACAGGCGGTGGACGACTGTCAGTTAGGTACATCCGAGTCTTGTCGCAAGACTGCGGGTGGTAGCCTCTGGATCCCCTTGTCTGCTTCGAGAATGGTGGAGTCTCCACTTCTTGGGGCCGCCCAACCAAAGTTTGTAGTGAACAGTCCTGACGATAGTGGTGTCCTCCCCCGATGCACTGTTGATGTTGCGGACAGTTGCCGTGGGTAGTGCCGCGGGGCCACTTGTGGAACATGATGACTCTAAGGTGCTCCTGTGAAACTGACATCGTAATTAAACCCAGGGAAGAGCAGGCGCCCTCACACGCCTCTTGCAGGAAAGCTCCCAGAGTGTCCTACAAGCATAGCATGTTACGTCATGTACGAGCATCGAGAATCAAAAACTGTAAGCTTTTCAAAAAACACTGACAGGACTTTCCTTCCAACCTAATAAAAGTAAAAGAAGACTGGAACTTGGTGGGTCCTGCTCTTATTACCTTGCGACGGTGACTCATCGAACGGCGAACTTGGGATGGGTGCACGCGGATCCGGTTGAGTGAAGTGGGGTGTCTTCTGATGGTCTGAAAAAAGTGAACCTTCAACCAATATCGACGTCTATGCCCCTGAAACTCAGCGACACGCAGTTATTTGCACAATCACCGCCATCCTTCACAAAGCTCGCCACTATTTTACAAAACTTGTTTTCCATAAATGAGATCACCTCGAAAGATGCGGGTACAACAGGAGCATACCTTGAGAGTTGAATGAGTTACAGGTCGCTATATCATCACCATCCAGAATTGCAGTGCCAAGAGGAATTTTGTTCGTAATTTCCCTAAAACATCTTCATTCATCAATCAAAAGATAGCAGCAATTTTTTTTTGAAAAAAGAAGAAATCCTACGTTTCATCATTGAAGCAGTTCACGTCATTTGAATCGGCGTAGAAAAGTGGATTGGCATGAATAACTAAGACGTGGAGGGAAGGATGCTGCAGCCACGGTAGGCCGAACACACTCGAAAACTGACTAGATGGAAAGGCCACGTACGTGGTTGCATCTATTGAATAGGCGATCGCAGCCTGAAATTCCACTTATACCAAAGGTTATTGTATAAGAAAAAATGTGTAGTTAGTTAAGTTTATTCATGACAATACGTCACACTCGCTCACATTAGATAACCCCAGTGATTTCCTAATACCTTGGTCTGTGGCAGTTACTTCAAGGAGTATGATTCCGCAGTATCATATTGGCATGGATCATAGATTAGGTCACTCTACACCCCTATTTCATTTACCGAAACTCGGCGTACTCCGAAAGAAGGAGAGAAATTTCAGTAGGTCGTTAACGTAGCTCTCATTTCTCTCCACAGCTGAACCAAATGCATTCTTTCAGACATAAACGGCTGAGCATCGTGACATAATGCAAAAGAAAACGTCACGTACGCATTGTTCGACACGCATAGCGTTGGTGATGGTGACAAAACGGGTATCGTTACACATCCACACGAAGTGAGAAACATAGCGAACTTTCCATTTCTCAGACCGCTCATTGTGATTCTGTAAGAGGAATATGGAGAAATGTTCGGTAACTGCCTGAACAACGAACTTACCCTAACACAGACTTCGCGCTGTTTTGCTATTAAACCCCACGTGTCCGGTGCCATAAGTTGCGGAAGCCCTCTCACATCATATGCATCAGCCCATTTTAGCAACTTCGTGAACACCAAAGACTCATCCCTTCAGAACACTCAAATAATTACAGGTGAGAGAATGCAAAACTGTCGAAATACGTACAATCCATGTGGTTTGCTGGAATCCTCAAAAACCGTATTAAGAGTTGCTTTTGGAAAAACTGCAGAGCAAATCGCCAGCTGTCCTTCATACACAGGATAGTAATAGAGCTGATCGTTCACATATCTGGAACGTTTGTTCAAAACATAGTCGAACAGTAAACAAAGGAAGAAAAACGACTAAACAAATTTTTTTGGAAAGAAGTACCCTAATGTGGGAGGTAAACTAGAGTGCTGGTTTCTTTCGGAGATACTGAAACGGAGATCCACGACAGCATAGGGTAAAACACCCGAGGGAACTTCAGCAACCGACATATCCTTGTTGTATTCATAATGGTAAACCTTGAATGAAATTTTTATAGCGTAATAATTCATGGGTAGCGAAATAGTGAAAGAGCTCAAAAAGTTCAGCAACGGTTTAAATCTAACCGCTGACTGTCGATGTAGTTGCTGACGGCTTTTCTTCGCAAATGGAATGTGATCTGGAGCGGCAATATGACTAGAGCAATCCATAGTTGGTTCAAGTTCGGTGGAACCCAATCCAACTGCATTACTTTTCCCTCTGAAATAATGAAATATTAAAAACCATTAAATCAGAAACGATATGTGTTTAACATTCAGCTAGAAGTATAAACGTGCCTCAAAGTTCGAAATACCATAACACGCATAATTTCGTCTTTATAGAAAAGTGAGGGAGTCACTAAGTCCACATGACGGTAAACATATACACCTGAAAGGTCGATGCAGAAGAGCACACAAAAACACCGAAAACATTTCTCCAAAATTTATTCACCTCGGGTTATTAGACCTAAGTCTCCATAGAAGGCAACACCAACAGAGTACCCGTGATTGCAGATGTGTATCCACTAAAATTTCGATAAAATGAACACCTAACTGGTAGCTACGAAATAAATACGTCAAAAGCAGCATACATCTTCGTCGTCAAATCCAACAAGTAAGAACCCGTAGCCCTCTGCATCATTTTGACCTGATGACCGAAGGCTAGTTTTAAACTGAGAGAACTGAAACGATTCAAATGATAAAATTTCGACAAACAAGGGTCAACAAGGAAAAGACACATACCCTGTATTCAAGGAGTGGATTCTTCACCAACCGAACCTTCTCCACGTGCATGAATTGATGCACCTGTCGATCAGACATGCTTTCCAACACTATACTCTTCACAGTGTTGAATTTTGGAGAATCCCTAGGCGCATCTTCAATAGTAGCCTTAGGCTCAAGTGACGATACATCTGGAAAATAAAGGCGAAACCCTCAGATTACGTGCGACTGCTGTAACTGTGTTACGGAGGATTAGCAAACATTCTCAGTCCTACTATATATAATCCGCTAAGTGTGTCTGTTTTTTTTTGTGTGTGTGTGTGTTTGTTAGCCTTTGTGTTGTTTGTGTGTGTTGTGTGTGTGTGTGTGTGTGTGTGTGTGTGTGTGTGTGTGTGTGTGTGTGTGTGTGTGTGTGTGTGTGTGTGTGTGTGTGTGTCTGTCTGTATGTGTGTTTGACCGGAAATTCATAACTTCCTTCAAAACAGCGATAGTGCGCTCAAACTGATAAGTGATGTAGGAGGTCGTGCAGGAACACTATTGGTAGGGGGCAGGAAGTGATAAGAGCTGATAAGATAAGATAAGAAGCCTCAGAAAGGGAGGGTCATCAAGTTTATAACGCGCGCCACAGCAAGGGTAAAACGTTGGTTCCAAGAAGTACGACAGGGTGCAGGATGGAAACATTATTGGTTGGTGGCAGGACGTGATATCAGCCGATAAGATACAACACCGGACCTTAGAAGGGGAGGGCCACCGTCTTTGTGGAGCGGGCTACAGCAACGACGGGGTGTTGGTTCCAATTTTGGGTGGCAGAAAATGATAATAGCTGATAAGATAACCTGAAAAGGTCTTTTGAGAGCCAGTATCTGCTCACATCATCGTGGCTAAAGAATCAATGAGCAAGGGCTAGTGAACCAAGATGTTTCTATCCATCAGCAAAATCTCTCATGGTCAGTTGAGCGGTGGAAACTGCTTCCACCGCTAAGGCTGCGTTTATACTTTGCGGCAGCGTAGCGTAGCGCTTCCAGCGTACGCCAGCGGCAGTGCCGGGGAGAGGATGCATATCGATCTAGCGTTCCCAGCGTCACCAGCGTAACGCTAGCGTACGCCAGCGTTTCTCCAGCGTTTCACCAGCGTTTTGCTAGCGTTTGCAGCGGCAGGGGAGTAGAGACTATGGGAGAGCTGGAGGGTACAAAACACATCGATTGCGCGTCTCTCACTCGCCCTCAGTCTCTACAATACACATCGATTCCGCGTCTCTGACGGCCACATAGTCTCTACATACACATCGATTCTGCGTCTCTGACGGCCACATAGTCTCTACTATACACATCGACTCCGCGTCTCTGACGGCCACATAGTCTCTACAATACACAACGATTGCGCGTCTCTTACGGCCACATAGTCTCTACTCCCTGCCGCTGCAAACGCTAGCAAAACGCTGGTGAAACGCTGGAGAAACGCTGGCGTTACGCTGGTGACGCTGGGAACGCTAGATCGATATGCATCCTCTCCCCGGCACTGCCGCTGGCGTACGCTGGAAGCGCTACGCTACGCTGCCGCAAAGTATAAACGCTGCCTAACCGCTCTAAGTCACCGAAAACAGGATGTCCGGAGTTGTTGAGCAGTAAGGAATGATAAGACCCGCTATCGATATTTTATCATCGAAATTAGTCCAACCGCTATGCTATCCTATTTCCAATGAATTTTTCTTTTAAAATTAAGATAAGCACCAAACATTGGCAAATGTTCATTAAAAGCGAAAAGCGTGAAAAAATGGGCCGTTTTCAAAACGAGGAATTAGGCTAAGTTTTAGTGCTCAGCACAGAAATCCTGTCAGTTATCAGTACTATAGGTCTAACCATGCGCGCAGTAATGCGCGTCAACCAGACTGGTGTAAAGATAAAGAACATTTTTCCATTAAATCTTCTGCGGAAATGAGGAAAAGTTCAGGGGCCTCTGTGACTATTGGAAGACTGTATATGTCAGGAAATCATCACTGCAGTTCCGAGCAAACACTTCGCCGATGAGCGTGGGCTCGCGCAGCGCATGGCTGCTCCTGGCTTCCGCTTGAGAGGCCTGAAGGGTGACTAACTCCTTCGCTCTACGTCCCTCTCGGCCTGATCATCTGAGTTCCCGGTTAAATTCTTTCGTAACGGGTCGAATGGTCAGCAAAATAAAGTCAGTATTGTCAATTTGGTGCGTTACAATGCGTTCATACTTAGCGGCAGCGTTTCAGAGTCTATAAGAGTTTTGAGCGTTTTTAGCGCCTTGAGCGTCGTCAGCGTTTTCAGCGATAATCGACCTATACTCATTTAGTTACTCGAAACGCTGAAGCTCAAACGCTCAAAACGCTGGCAAGCGCCCAAAACGCTCATACGGCGATAGACGCTTAAAACGCTGACGCATAAGAACGCACTCTTAGAACTTGTGACTACACTTATTTCATCTTCTTAATCGCGAAAGCAGAAGAAAACTCACTGTCATTAACAATAAACGCTTTCTGAGTCTTTTTTTACAAGTTGCTGCCATACTCTCGAGGAGAAGAGTGAGTATTCATTAGGTCATCCCATTCAAAAAGGCCGATGGTTTTTTTGAATAAAACAAAGAGGAGAATAGATAGAAAAGTGATATTTTAGCTTTAGGATGAGTAAATCCCTCCTTCACCAATGACCCGCTCCCAGTGCCCCGAAAGCCTTTGGACCTCTGGTACCTTCGATTTTTCAACAAGTGCGAGTAAATTGCTGTTGATGCCAATTTCGGCGAATGACAAAACATTGTAGCGTTTGCCGTCGGAGAGTACTCTCGACTGAATAGAACAGTTGTAATCGCACGGCTTTATGACGGGCGAATGGGGCGATTGAAGAGGTCTCAGTATTGTGTCTTAGTATTGTCTTGTGTCCCAGCACTGCCCTACAATACAGTTACTCGGGGTCTGGCACTATGACGAGCAACGGTGGCCTTCTTGTAGTTGTGTGGTAGCATCCATTTGTCGATCTGAATGCCGAGGAACAGGCAATATGCACCGACAGTGACGGATTTGTTCTCTGTATAGAGCCGCTTGAAAGCCACAGTGTGGGAATCCTTTGCTATGATGATCATCCACTTGCGCCCACGTAACTCTTCATGGTAGAACTCGGGCGGCTTCTCATCTGCATTCATACAAAATTGACGATTGTGAGTTTTGGCTCGAGGTCCAAGACCACCCATATTTCATCTAGGGCCGGGGTGCGTTTTCACAGTCGTGAATGACATGCTGAGAACATTACTGCTAGAGGCATAGAATCGGTACTGCGTTCGTGCTTCTATAAGAAAATTAGGTACCCATGCGCACACCCTCTTGACCATCCTCAGTTTATCGGACATAACTCGGGCAGCAGTTGCAGCAGGGATGTCAGTCTCGCGGGGAAGCTCGACAAAGGTCCAGGCTCTGTGATCAGACATTCAGCGCTTGACTTCATCCACCCTTTTTTCTTGTGCAGGATGAATATTATGGGACCATCCACGACAACAAATTTTTTCCTTTCTTCCTTGTACGGGCTCCTGAACCAAATCTTCCACCGTGTATTTCGAGAACACCATTACACAC